AAGATGATTACAATCGCATGTAGGGTGTGAACACAGGGGTGCATTCCATCACATGGGGTGTGCATGTGTTTTGTTTTGTTCCTGCCAATGGGCATTACACTGCAATGAATGTTTGCCAGCTTTTTTGCTGCATTTACCAGCTCCACAACCAGAATCAGAGGAAAATATTATAATACTCCGGAGACTAAACTATTGTGTGCCAGAGGCAGAGACCAGAAGAAACCTAGGTGCCCAATGCCTGAGGACCCATATTATATGAAATACACCCAGAGAATCCCAGGAAGGGACCCGTCCCCCATACTGTAGAGGAAGGTGAAAAGAACCCCACGGTCCCTGCCAATCTGACCTAGGGAAAATTCCTTCCTCATCCCAGATTTCGGGAACTGTTAGACCCTGAGCATGTGAGCAAGAACCAGTCAGCCAAGCACCTGAGAGAATAGTCAGAGCTCTGGGCCGTCCCTGTCCAGTGTCCCATCTTCAGCCATAGCCAGCCCGGATGCTTCAGAGGAAGGAAAGAGAAACCAAAATAAAAACACCTCTTCTCCCCACCACCATAATACACTGCAGGGGGAGGGCGGGGAGATTCCCTTCCTAGCCCCTGCAGGTGACCAGCTGAAGCCCTGAAGCATGACATTTTAGGAACATTAAGCATGAACTGGAAAGGATCCCTCGGGTTGCTGAGCCCTGCCCTCCACCATTACAAGCAGCCCCATTGTACAATTCCACTCAGACATTTAGTGAGTCTTAAAGCTCATTAGGTTGTCTGCCTCCACCACTCCTTAATAACCTCTTGTGAGTGGTTTTTTCCAAGGATCTCTGAAAGTTCCACCTAAAATTAATCGGTCAGTTCTCCCTCATCCACTATTAGGCTGAGAGGCTCCTACCCTGCAGTGCGGCAGCCATCTTAGAATTGCATTTGTGAGGTTAGTGAAGGAACAGGATAGGTGGCAGTGTAGAGGAAGTGAATGAAAGAGTGCAAAGGGAGGAAGAGTAGTGGGGGAGACAAGACTGGGACTCACTTATCTGTGGCAATATCCAGGGTAGGGCACTGCCCTTCCCCTCCAGATCCTGTCTTCACTGAATGGGTTGTTGGGAAGTGGTCTGACAGTCTATCACCACCATGAACACTGGGAGAGGGAAACACCCCTCTCCAGCTGTAGCAGACACTGGGCTACGCTCACAAGGAAAGGTCACACTTTAAAAGGGTGTGATACTGTAGCTGGGGGTACTGTGCTGAGGGTGTCCTCTACACTCTACAGTCCAAAGAGTCTGCCCCAAGAGAAACCATCCCTGGTTTTAGACTGTGCCAGGTGTATGCTGGGAATGTATTTGAGGCATTTAAATCAATGCTGCAGGAACACACATGCAAGGCAGACATGATCAACAAGGCTCAGTTCGGTACCTCTCTATCACATCCCAGGGCCTTGGATTAAGGAGCACCCAACTACCCTGAGACATGCTTTGAAACCCTATACCTCAAAGCAGTGCTACCCATTGCAGCTAAGCAACCTCAGTTCATTGGCTGGCATGACATTAGCTTGGCATCATCAGTTCACTGGAAACAGGACACCAGTACAGCAGTTATTAGGCATCATTGCACCATTCGGAATATACTGCATAACAACTCCTACTTCAGAGCATTAGGGGACAAAGCTGAGGTGAGGGGACAAGTACATTTGAAGACAGACCCTTTGTTGAAATAATCCCTTCTTTATCTCAAGTTTTCTCCTAGTGCTAAACTTTCAGCACCAGGTGGGAAGTGACTGGTACAACTGCATCCCTGCATGCAACCTCTGCTCATTGTGCTAACCTTAGCATTAGGGGCAAACAGGGAGGTCTTGGCAAGGATGCTTCTTATGAAATCTCTGTTACCTGTGAGACAGCAGCAGGAGCGACAGAACATTGCAGGTGAAACAAAAGAATAGGAAGTGGGCAAGCAACCAAGGGGTGTGGAGGGGAAATTGAAAGAATTTTTTTCAGGTAAAATTAAATGGGAGAATTTTTTTTCCCAAGTCAAATGAAACATTTGTTCAACTCTAAAGAAAATGTTCCGTTTCTGTTTCATGCTTGTTAAGTAAAGGAGATGAAATTTAGAAACGAAGGGCTAGAGTCGTAGAATCGCGGAGGAACTGGCCGGCACTCACCTGAGAGGGGACACCTGCGTTTCAGTCCCTGCTCCAATGACTATTTAAATATCAATACAAAGTGGGACAGCTTAAAACAGGAGAGCGTGAGAGAGACCCACCTGCCAGGAGCCTGGTGGTAAGGGGACTCACCTGGGAAGTGGAAGACCTGGGTTAACATCTCTGCTCCAGAGCAGGGATTTGATACATGGTCTCCCATATCCCATATGAGTGTCATGGATGCTGTTTGGGGGTGGGGATTGTCAAAGTTAGACTCAGGACTCATAGTTTGTCAGACCACTCTGTTTTATTAGCACAGCGCTCTGCTAATACATTCAGATAATGTGAGCCCCCATGCAAGATTCAAACAGTCTTATTTATACAGATAAAAGGGTGCGAACTAAACAAAGGGACAGAGAGAGCAAAATTGTAAAATCTGCATAGGGCACAATATGCATATCCTGCTTCCTTATTAACTTTTATCGATCTAAGGCTAATGCTTCACCAATTGCCCTTAAGTGGGGCAATTCATTAAGCAGTTAATGTCTGCTTTCCTGCCCCCTGACTTGCAGCATTTCTCATTTCTACTTAAAGGTACATACAGCATTCTTTAATTCATTCTATTTCTTTAATATAATTCATTTCACTTTCACAGGATGGAGATGCCCAGTTAGCTGCCAGCACCAGTAATAATAGCTGAGTTAGCCTGGGTGTAGCCGGCACAGTGTGACAGTCTATGGACCTCACTCCTAAAAGGGCTATTGTGGTTGTGGGAAGAAGCAGCATATTTATTCCATGTGATGGAAACATAATTCTAAAAATGAGCAATTCCTGGGGAAGCCTGTCACCTGTGGAAAGGATCGCACACACCATCACAGTTACAGTCTAAGTAGCTGAAAGGGAAAAACAGCTTCTGTCAGACATGGACAGAAATGTTACTTCTGCTGGGTTTCCAGGTAGTTTGAAAAAAAGTAGAGATGTTTATAAAGTATTCAAGCTTTGACTGTGACCTGAAGGTTAAGAGCTTTTTGGCAGGATTCTAGACGTGAGGGTTTTTTTTATCTTCAGCATCCACTAGGTCCAACTCTTAGGTTTTTCTATAGCACTCATTGCTGTAGCATCTAAGCACCGACATGGTTCAGTTCAAGAGCTGGCAATGGATTTCAGAACGCCTCACCCCCCGTTTCATGCTCTAACCAGTAGGCCACAATCCATCCCTTAACTCAACTGCAACCCTGTGAAAGAGGCAATGCCTAGCCCTGATGTCTCGTGAAATCTTTGAGGTCTTTGAGACAGCACAGCAGCCGAAGGAGTGGAATGCTGCCACTTTTCTTGTCATTATACCGCATCTGTCTCCATCTCTAAGATATGTAAGCTTGTCTTGAAGGCCTCACACTGCTAGCACATCATCAGAAACGGTGTTTGCTGATTGCTGGTGTGAGTAGCACTGGCCAAAACTCAGAATTTCTGATTCGGGGACATTTCAATGTGCTAAAATTTGGCTTCATTCTAAATTGGAACAAAACCAAATTAAAAAATTTCCTGTGAACCAGAAATTCCATAAAATATTCATTTTGGAAACACTGGCAGGTGAAGTTTCTGAAATGAAACATGCTCCCCAGACCTAGGCATGATTCTCATCAGTTTCCCTGCTGCACATCAGTGACTATTGAGCCCCCAGGGTTTCTCGCTCCCAGCTCCACGGCAGAGATCCTGATCCCAGCTTGAGTCAGAGCTCCCAGGGCTTCCTGCTTCGCAGCAGGGAGTCAGGGAGCCCTGAGATCTTCAGCCCCAGGGCAATCTGCATGTTGGGGATACTCCAGAGCCACAGACCCTGGAAAGGTGGGCTCCAATGCAATCCACCAGTCTGGCAGGAAATCAAGCCGTTTTCTGTCAGAACTGTACCTGTGGTTTATCCAAAGTACATCAAACTCAGAGCTTAATTTGTGCCGGGGCTTGCCAGGGCTGAGCCTTGGCACCTCTAGGCTTGGCAGTTTATAATCCCAGCACCTCAGGGCTTGCTGCGTCAGCTATAAGCATAAAAAATTGCTTGAGCCCCAGCACGTCTTTCATTACAAATTAAGCAGTGATCAAACCTGATATGTTTTCCCAGAAAATTTTGGGGTCAACAATTGGCAGTTCGATCAGAACATTCCCAACGAGCTCTAGGCATGAGACCGTCAGAGAGCTTCCAATCCAGCCAAACAAACAAAGTGAAACTTTATATAGTGCCTTGCCGAGCCAAAACTTCCTATTACCAACCGGACAAATTTCAGGAATTTCTGCAAAAGTCTCCCCAGAATAGACTTATATATATTAAGCTTGTTCAGTATTAGGCTTTGCAAAATACTTGTTTTCACACAATGTATAAATTCACTGCAAAAAATTTCCCACAGGTTCTGATCTCTTTGGAAGCTCACATTTTGCAACTGTAAATCAAAGATTCAGGTTTCCAAAGCTGATAGCCCTATCATGAACTATTTGTTTTAAACTTGCTATCTGGGTGCATTCGAGAGAATCACCTGACTAAACATGGGTATATTTTACTGAATACCTGCAGGAATCCATCATGAGATTAAGACACTGGCTATAATTTTATGAAAAGGACAATGAATTCTGTTTGTTTGCTATGAGCTGTCCAGGTAAATCTGTGGGTCTTTTGTCTATTGTTATTTTATTCTTGGGAAAACTTATCTTTGTAAAAGCCTTTCCAATTCTGGAGATATTTAGAGCCATGCAATCAGAAGTTACAAACGGAAAATTCCACCATTAGTCCCTTTAGTCATCTTCAGCTATACGAGGTGGTATCCTTTTCCAGCACTCTGTTATTTTCATGAGGTTGTGAAAGCTGGCCAATGTTTAGGCATTCTGCAAAAGATGGATAATGAACAGCGGCCAAATTCTGCTCTGGTTTGTACCTGTGCAAATTACAGGTCTCATGGCAGGCAGAATTTCACAGGGTCTTGATGAGCACAGGTTTTGCAGGCCATGTGGCAGTTTCTGTGGTGTTTGTAGATTTATAAATGAAGGGGAAATGTTATGATTCAATTTTTTGTGCGCTGCATCTTTAATGGGGAGTGGCGGTCCGGGCCGGGAGACCATTCAGAGTAACACTGATCACTTGCTTACTGAGTTTTTTATTATTATTATTTGTGTGTCCTCTTTGGAATGGTCTCATTTTTGAATTTTGTTTTTTACCAAGATTTTGTTTGATTCTGTAGAAATGAACCAGCTTTAGCTGGTAACCATTGAAAAGCCACCTAATCCTTGCCACGGGCCTTATCTCCCTCTTACAGAAGTGCTTCCTGGGTTTCCTTCTTGCCATTGGCATCTTGGTGACACTATGTGATGCATACTGTTTTTTTGAACCAGATAGCCCACAGAAATCTACCCAAGGTGAGAACAAAACAGCTCTCTGGATTGCTCTATATTAGCTGACTGCCACTGTGAATAGCCAGGAAGCGTATGAAAGAGGGGAATGTAGGGTACCCCACAAAACTATGTTTTTAGAGTGACAGGTAGCTGGCAAGAGGAGTATACAAAGGCATCACACATGGCCAATTTCTAATGGATTTAGCTCAAGCAAGTAGCTTGTGTGCATTCCGATTCTAGTGACACCATCCATTCTAGCTGGAGTGTCCCAACTCTGTTCTCTCTCCAAGGAATCAAAGACACGAACCCACAGTGTGCTCCTTCCAAAGCTGTGGGTCTCCAGAGGGTTTCCGTTGATTTTGGAAGAGATGGAGCGATGCTGCCATCATTTTGCACTTGACAACTCCCATCGGAGTTGATGATAGTTTTGAATGCACCACAATGGCAGGATATGATCCTAGCTAGTTTACTGCTTATTGTCACAAAAGATTCATCCCAGAAGTGCAGAAAATGGAGAAAACAAGGTCATGCTCTTAAAGATAGAGAAATTCATGGAGGATAGGTCCATCAATAGCTACTAGCTAGGATGAGCAGGGATGGTGTCCCTAGCCTCTGTTTGCCAGAGGCTGGGAATGGATGACAGGGGATGGATCAGTTGATTACCTGTTCTGTTCATTCCCTCTGGGGCACCTGGCATTGGCCCCTGTTGGAAGACAGGCTACTGGGTTAGATGGACCTTTGGTCTGACCCAGTATAGCCGTTCTTATGTTCTAAGTAGTAAACGAGGCAGAAATGTCATTCAGGTGGGCACAAGAGCGGAATTAATGGCATTCTGCCTGCAGAGACCTGAAGTTTACTTGCAACATGCACAGACAGTTGAAGTTGTTGGTCTGATGTTGAAGTTTAAGTGAAGGGTTGGGTTTTATTTTGTTTTATTTGTGTACTGCAGGTTGTATTCAAGATGGAAAACTATATCTATATGGTGCCACTTGGATTAAGGACTGCCACAGTTGCACCTGCGGAAAGGAGGGAATAGGCTGCTGCTCCACGTAAGTTCAACAGAACCCAGTAGCAATGTTTCCACTGTGAAAACCACAGTGACGCTCTTGCCATCCATACTCTGAAGAAACAAACTCCACCAAGGGCTGTTTTCCTGGTCTTCGTCATAGCCCTGGGGAAAGTCACTTGATCAGTCTTAATCTTATCTTGAGTGTTGGCTTTACCACCCATTAGGCCTATGGCTGCATTCTCCTTAGCTTACATCTTACCCCCTGGTGTTGGAAGCAGCCTTGCTGGGCACTCATCTTGTTGCATGGCTGTATGTTGCATGGCTTTTTTAGAACTTCTCATGACACTGGCAAATCCTTAGTTTACATTGGGGTAGAAGATGGTCACAGGTGGCTAAAACCACAAGGAAGTAATGAGAAATAATTTGTGCAGCTGAAATGATATGGGGCGTTTAAGCTTGAAGAATGGAGTTAAATGAAATTGGGTCTAGTACTGCTCCCTTTGTGAAAAATGCCCATCAGATTTTTGATGATCAGAGGGGATGTAATATCTCAATTTTTCAGAGAGGCAAGATGGTCCAGTAGTTAGCTCTCTCGCGTAGTACTTTGGGAAACCCCTGTTCAATACACTGCTCTGATACAAATTTTGTGTGTAACCTTGGGCAAAGTTGCCTGGGACCAGATCCTCAAGAAGGCACCTAATTTCCATTGAAATAACGGACGTTAGGAACCTAAATACCCTTCAGGGTTTGGACCTAAATCTCTGAGAGCCTCATTTCCCTAGCCATAAGATGAGGCTAGTAGCACTTCCCCAGCTCTCAGGGGTGTTGGGAAAATCAAAGTATTAGCGGTTGTGAGGTTTTCAGATACCACAGTGATAGGGGACATCTAGAGTTCCCACTGAAGTAAAACTCTTCTCTGCTGCGATGTACAAAATGCTCAACACTTGCTAGACAGCTGGTTTGCTGGGAACATTGTCTATCTTGCTGACTAATATCACTTCCTTGTTCTATTTGTTTTATCCCCTGATTATCTGTAGCTTCACACTGAGCTTGTAAACTCTCTGAGGCAGGGGCTCTCTCTATTTACAGGGTGTTTTGGTTTAAAACAAATTGCCAGTTCAAAGACAGTGAGGACACACCTGGAAAGCTGCCCCATGACCTAGTGATTGATTGTGTTTAGCTGTGGTCAGAGTTAGCCTGAAACGTCTCACACCAATGCTTGTTTTCCTTCCCAATGCTAGCTTTTCTCGTCCTGCTGGCTTTGACGAAAAGAAATGTAAACTCATCTTCCATAAGGAGTCCTGCAGCTACTCGGTGGTGCAGAAGGCCAACCCCTCTAAAACTTGTCCGTTCACGGCCATGGTGGGTTAAGGAATAACCTCCTTGGAAGAACCTCCCTTCCAGGTTTAAGTCACTCATGGAGGAATTCCTTTCTTGGATCCTAGTAATTGTAGATGCTGTTTTAAGATTTGCCACCAGCATGCTGTACTTTCCCTATCAACTGTGTAACCTTCTTTATTCTTGCATTTTGGAGATCAGTGTTGTTTCTATATAATTCTAGGTCTGTCATCGTAACTGAATTCTGCCCAGAGATCTTGGCTGATGAATGATTAAATAAAACAGGCAGATAAAGCATCAAAAACATCTGAGTTTTTTTCCTACTAAAGAAATGATTGGATCCCGTCTCCCTCCTTGCTATTAGATGGACAGGGAGTGACAAGGGTAGCACCAGCATTCCTGGAATGCTTTTAATAATTGGTGAGCTGCTTTGGAAGACGATACTTAGAATTCCCCAGACAACATCATTTGCACTGTTTGTCAGGTTCAGCTCTGACTGTAAAAGAACCAGAGGCGAAACCCAGCTTCCAGTGACGCCAACGCAAAACGTCCATTGATTTCAACAGGGCTAGGGTTTCAGCCCAGAGACATGGGCTCCTGATGTGACTGTCGTGTCTACTGCTGCTTACCCCACAAAAGGACAATATGAGGAACCCACCTTGGCCCACTTGGGTCCCAAGTTACCATGTTTACTAACCATACAGAAACATGCAAGGCCCAGCTAGATACACACTGCTCTGATTGGGACTCGGTGGGGGGTTGCACGGGGTCGGGGCAGTCAGGGGACAGGGAGCAGGGGGCATTGGTGGGGGTGGCGTCCTGGGGTGGTGGTTGGGGGGGGTCTCTGGGGGACGGTGAGGGGACAAGGAGTAGGATGGGTCGGGGATTCTGAGGGGGGCGGGCAGTCGGGGGGCAGGAAGTGGGTGGGGGTTGGATAGGGGGCAGGGCCAGGCTGTTTGGGAGGCACAGCCTTCCCTACCCTAAAGCTCATCAGCAGTTTGAGACTTGCAGAAGAGCCAAGCTGTTAGCTTTTCCATTAGGGCTGCCGTCCCTTTCACTTCTCAAATGCCAAATTATAGTCTATATTTAATTTCAGTACCATAGGGAGATTCATGTCAGGGGAGGGTAGCTTCATTTAAAATTAGCCACTGGGGGAGGGATCATATGAGAAGAGCAATATCCTACCCCACCTACCTCCTTTCCAACCCTACCAAGGGAGACCCCCCCCCCTGCATTCCCTGAGGCTTCAGAGGGGTTAATTCAGTGTTTCTCAAACTTTTGTACTGGTGACCCCTTTCACATAGCAAACCTCTGAGTGCGACCCCCCCCTTATAAATTAAAAACACTTTTTTATATATTTAACACTATTATAAATGCTGGAGGCAAAGCGGGGTTTGAGGTGGAGGCTGGCAGCTCGCGACCCCCAGTAATAACCTCGTGACCCCCTGAGGGGTCCCGACCCCCGGTTTGAGACCCCTTGGTTTAATTTAATTTTAGCACCCTGTGTCCATTCACATGCATGTGCTATTTTGAGCATTTCAGTTTTCACAACATAGGCTCCTCCCAGATTCTGGAACAAGCTCAAATGCTCAGTTCGTGGAGTATGTACATAAGCTATACTAAAGACAAACCCACAGTAACCGTCTCCAGTTTGTGAGGGACCCCATGGAGCCAGTCTCTAGGAAACAGATAAATGCATGGAGGTTAAGTCCATTAATGGCTATTAGCCAGGATGGGTAAGGAATGGTGTCCCTAGCCTCTGTTTGTCAGAGGGTGGATGGAGATGGATGGCAGGAGAGAGATCACTTGATCATTAACTGTTAGGTTCACTCCCTCTGGGGCACTTGGCATTGGCCATTGTCGGTAGACAGGATACTGGGCTGGATGGACCTTTGGTCTGACCCAGTATGGCTGTTCTTATGTTCTAACCTAAATTAACCCAAAGTTATGGAGACAGATATGAGTCAAGGAAGCCAGCAGAGTATCAGAAACCTGGAAAAATCTCTGACTGATGGGCTCAGGCGTTTGGTCACAAGCTGAAGTGGTTCAAAAGTTTTGGATTTTTTTTAAGTAGAATTTGTTTATTGTTTCTTTAAACAATCAAACACAGCAAGCAGCAAATATTTGGCCACACACTTCTGAAACCCCAAACCATATTCAGGTTTTGGCAGACTAATTTCAGCTTTTCAATTAAAAAAAACACAAAAAATTTTGAAGGAAAGCAGACATTGTCCGTGATTTTTTTCTGCTTTTTAAAAAACCCTAGTTTTTGATCCAAAAAAAGTTTTGACGGAAAATATTTGTCCAACCCCTTTAATGAGCTTTAGTGCCTTTTAGCACTAGCTGATGCGGAGAACCAGTGATACCTTGTAAAGAAGTTTTCTCAAAACTAGGTTTGTGCCAAGATGTGGAAGGTTTATTTTTCCCAGGGCCGCCCGTGGGGGGGGGGAAGTGGGTATAGTATTGTAATTTTTTTTTATGGAAGGGGCCCCTGAAATTGCTTTGCCTCAGGCTCCCTGAATCCTCTGGGTGGCTCTGTCAGAAAGTCCATGAATGTTTGCAGAGCTGGGCTCAGGGGCTTGCAGAGCCCTTCCCCACTTCTCCACCCGTACTCCCTCTCCCTTACTGCTGTTGTGGAAAATTGACCACATGGTTGATTTGGATCAGACAGCCTGAAGCTCCTTTATTGATCAATTAAACATGTGTAACCCTTCTGCCCATCTAAGTTGGCAGCAACAAGGGCCGGGTTC